GCCGTATTTATACAGTGGCTGGGCGGCATGTGGTTAATTACATATAACATTTAACTGTATGCCATGACCATAGAACTCCTTTAACTCCAATAGCCGGCGGTATGCAGCTCACTGAGACATTTAGGCTCTGTTCACACTTGTGCGCCTTGTCATGCGACTTTGGACACATAGGGGTTGATTTATTAAAGACAAATAAACTGTGCACTCCGCAAGTACAGTTGCTCCAGTGCTTAGTAAATGAGGTACAGCTTCACTTTGCAAAGAATACACAACCACCTGCAAGTAAAATGAAAAAAAAAATGAATTTGCTTGCACATGATTGGATGATGGAAGTCAGCAGATCTTCTGCTTATTTACTAAGCTCTGGAGCAACTGCACTTTGCAAAGTGCGCACTCTATTTGCCTTTAGTAAATCAACCCCAGAAAGTTGCATGACAAGTTGCAGCGCACTGTTTTCAATGGCGCCCATTCAGATCTATGCGACTTAGAAAAGGTTCCTGCACTACTTTGATATGACTTGAGTGCCAGAGAGTGTAAAGGTGCATCAAAGTCGCATTAAACGTTGCACTCCAAAGTCATGCTGGAAATCATGCGACTTTTAGAGTCGTACAGGAAATCGTGCAACTTTGGAGTCGCACAAGTGAGAACAGAGCCTAACCTGGAGCTTTACTTGAATCTCGGAGTGCACACTGAACAGGCTTGTTCTGTAGTCCTCAACCCACCGGCATCCACAGGGTTAACTAAAACAAGTTGTGCAAAAAGTGCCCTGCACCAAGAACTTCAGGAAGTGCTTCATATAAAAATAGCTCTTTTATGTCCTCATCAAAAAGGCAGCATTATAGCATAAAATCTGAAAAAAAAATGGCAATGTTTCAAGCCAGACAGATACTGGTTCATTGATGAGAAAATAAAAGAGCTATTTTAATACAAAGCACATCTTTTTCATCTTTGGTGCTAAACACCTTTTTTTTCTGCATTAATGGGGTGTATTTATTACAAAAAAAGAAAACTCTCATAGCTATGTGCCCTATTTAACTGTATGCACATTTGTTCTGTGCAAATGGGCGCACAATCAAATGTTACTAGGCTATTCTCTCTCCAAATCAAATGTTATCCATTCTTAAAAAATATAGTGAATCAGGACAATACTGCATTATGGCCACTAGATGGAGCTGAAGGTCATAGTAAAATAAGATGGTCCTAGGATCAATGGCTCCATCTACTGGCCATTATATTTTATTCATTTTATGAATGAGTAGCACTCGATCCTGGAGAAAATAGTCTAGTAACATTCGATTTTGCCCTCATTTGCACATAACAAATGCACATGCAGTTTCACAGGATGAAAACAGTAGATCTGTGATTTTTTTTTTCAATAACTACACCTGCCTTGAAGAGTGGCCCTCGGTAGATATAACATGGTCTTGTGTGTTATTAAAATTTGACATACTGGATTGAACCCATTAGCGCATCCCATTGCAAACGAACTGGACAGGCATTTTTGTGCACATTTACACGTGTTTTGCAGTGCGGTTTTTCCTAAGCATTTTTAGGGGCTTGTCTGCTTGCATTTCCTATGAGGTCACTTCCTTCCTCTTTATTCGTAGGGCTTTTATATGCGGTGCTTTTCAATGCATTTGTGCGCGTTTGCATTGTGAAAAAATGCAGATTGCTTCTTTTTTTTACTGCAGTGCACTGCATTGTAATGGTGTGGACTAGGTCCATAGGATAACCTGAATTTTGGACTTTCATTGCAATGGGAATACAAGAGGGATAGGAGGGCCCTGCTCCTTGGAGCTTACAATCTAGGAGGGAGGGGCTAGTGGTATAAAAGGTAATAACTGTGGAGGATGGACTGGTTGGAAGAGTAGAAGATTCCATTATTAGCTGAGGGCAGGATAGGCTTCCCTGAAGAGATAGGTTTTCAGAGATCAGCTAAAAGTGAGCAGAGTAGGCGATAGTCTGATAAATTGGGATAGAGAGTTCCAGAGGATGGGGGAAGCTCTGGAGACGTCCTGGAGACAAGCATGGGAGGAGGAGATAAGTTAGCTAGAGAGTAGGAGGTCTTGCAAGGAGCAGAGAGTATGGTTTGGGTGATATTTAGAGACAAGATCGTTGATGTAATTTGGGGCAGAGTTATAAATGGCTTTATATGTTATTGTTAATGTTTTGAATTTTATCCGTTGGGCAATGGGGAGCCAGTGGAGGGATTGGCAGAGAGGGGTGGCAGATACAGATCGGTTAGTAAGGTGGATGAGTCTGGCAGCAGCATTCATGATAGACTGAAGAGGGGATAGCCTGCAATTAGGTAGGCCAATGAGGAGGGAGTTACAATAGTCAAGGCAAGATATAACAAGGGAGTGAATAAGTTGCTTAGTGGTTTCCGAGGTTAGGAACGGGTGTATCTTGGAGATGTTGCAGAGGTGAAGTCTACAAGATTTGGACAGTGATTGGATTTGGGGCTGAAAGGACAGATGGGAGTCTAGGATTACACCTAGCACCCTGGCATGAGGGGAGGGAATGATGATTGTATTATTGATCTTGATGGAGAAGTCAGGGGAGGGGGCACGGGCTGGGGGAATACTAAGAGCTCCGTTTTGGAAAGATTGAGATTTGAGGAAGTGGAGTGACATCCATGCCGATATGTCACTTAGTAGGTTAGTAATGCGAGAGGAGACTGAAGGGGTGAGGTGAGGGGTAGAAAGATAGATTTGTGTGTCATCAGCATAGAGATGGTACATAAAGCGATGGGAGTTTATCAAGTGACCAAGGGAGGAGGTGTAGATGGTCCAACGCACACCAAATAAAAATGAAAAAACATCAGATTTGATTTCAATATGGTATGCTATTTCAGTATGGTATTCCAATGATGGGACACTATTCCTCCCATTGACACCAATGATGGGGCACTATTTCATCCACTGACACCATTGATGGGGCACTATTCCTCCCACTGACACCAATGATGGGGCACTATTCCTCCCACTGGCACCAATGATGGGGCACTATTCCTCCCACTGACACCAATGATGGGGCACTATTCCTCCCACTGACACCAATGATGGTGCCCCATCATTAGTGTCAGTGTGTGAGGAATAGTGTCCCATCATTAGTGTCAGTGGGAGGAATAGTGCCCCATCATTAGTCAGTGGGAGGAATAGTGTCCCATCATTGGTGTCAGTGGGAAGAATCGTGCCCCATCATTGGTGTCAGTGGGAGGAATAGTGCCCCATTAGTGTCAGTGGGAGGAATAATGCTCCATCATTGGTATCAGTGGGAGGAATAGTGTCCCATCATTGGTGTCAGTGGGAGGAATAGTGCCCCATCATTGGTGTCAGTTGGAGGAATAGCGCCCGATCATTGGTGTCAGTGGCAGAAATTGCGCCCCATCATTGGTGTCAGTGGGAGGAATAGTGCCCCATCATTGGTGTCAGTGGGAGGAATAGTGCCCCATAATTGGTGTCAGTGGGAGGAATTGCGCGCCCATCATTGGTGTCAGTGGGAGGAATAGTGCCCCATCATTGGTATCAGTGGAAGGAATAGTGCCCCAGCATTGGTATCAGTGGGGAGAATAGTGCCCCGTCGTTGGTGTCAGTGGGGAGGAGGAATAGTGCCCCATCGTTGGTGTCAGTGGGGAGGAGGAATAGTGCCCCATCGTTAGTGTCAGTGGAGGAGGAATAGTGCCCCATCGTTAGTGTCAGTGGAGGAGGAATAGTGCCCCATCGTTAGTGTCAGTGGGGGAGAGCAGCGGCTGCTCCTTCTTTCAGATTTTCGCGGGGGCCCGCCGCTCGGCTCCACCTCCTGGCCGGTGATTGGTCGCCTGTGTGCCTTTCCAGTGCTGGAGCCCAATCACCGGTGAGGAGGCGGAGCCGAGCGGCCGCATGAAATCGAGCGGCCGAACTGAAAGAAGGAGCAGCTGCGCTTCCTGGACCGGATCGTCGTGGGACCGGGACCGGAGCCAGGTAAGGTACAGCAGCCCCTCTGCCCACCCCCCTGTACTAAGTGTCTGTTGAAGAAGGAGGGGGGGCGGCGCCGCGCCGCCCCTCGAAAAAGTGCCGCCCTGACACCGGCTCGCCGTATATATACCGGCGTATAAGACAACCCCCGAATTTTCAGAAGTTTTTCTTGTGTTGAAAAGTCGTCTTATACGCCGGAAAATACGGTAGATCATTAGTGTGCATCATGGTTACATAGATAATTTGGTTGAAATAAAGACACAAGTCCATCCTGTTCAACCATCAAAGTCACATCAAAGTAGTGCAGGAACCTTTTCAAAATGTTCCTGCACTACTTTGATGCGAATTGAGTGCCAGAGAGTGTAAAGTTGCATCAAAGTCATTTCAAAGTCACACTCAATACTTTCTTATTGGCAAAAAAAATTGAATAAAAAAAACTCAACACTTGTGATTTTGTTGCAGTTCCATTGAAGTCTATTGCACCAAAAACGCAATCTGCTGCGGATAAAAAAGTCCCCTTCCTTTCCAAAAATGCATAGATGCGAACGTGTCCCATAGGAAACCATATTAAAACCATTTGCCCTCCAGAAGATTTACCCCCCTTCCTGACCAGGCCATTTTTTGCGATATGGTGCTGTGTTATTTTACTGACAATTGCACGGTCATGCAATGCTGCACCCAAATGAGATTTCTGTCCTTTTTTTCCCATGAATTGACCTTTCTTTCGGTGGTATTTGATCGCCTGTGCATTTTTTATTTTTTTGCACTATGAAAAAAAAAAAAGATTGACAATTTTGAGAAAAAAACAATACTTTTGACTTTTTGCTAATAAACATGTCTAGTAAAAAAAACTTAAAAAATCAAATTTTCGTCATAAATTTAGGCCAAAATGTATTGTGCAACATGTCTTTGCTAAAAAAAAAGATCCCAATACATGTAAATTAATTGGTTTATGTGAAAGTTATAGCGTTTACAAATGACGGTATAGATAATGGGATAATTTTTTTTTCTTTTTTTACCAGTAATGGCAGCGATCAGCAACTTATAGTGGGACTGCGGCGGGCATTCTGACACTGGGGGGAACTGACTTGGTGTCACTGACATACCCAGTGACACCGATACAATGATCAGTGCTAACAGAAAGCACTGACACTGTACTAAAGGCACTGGGCATGAAAGGGTTAACATGTGGGGTGATCAAAGGGTTAACTGTGTGCTGTTTTTATTGTGTTCTGTGTGCATGTGTGTGTGTGTTTCACTGTAAGCACACTGCTTTGTATGGCTCTGCTAAGCAAAACCATGCATAGCAGTGTGCAGGAGCTGACAGGGGAGAGATCTGTATTGTTTACTTACAGTTCTCTTCCTCCGTCGGTAATGCTCCTCGATCACCAGGTGCCGGAGAGCAATCGTTGGCCAGGACCCGGTGATTGAGAACTGAGGCCGCGAATAGTGGCGTAGGTAGGGCGCGTACACGGTGTGTGCGCGTGCACGGTGTGCGCGTGCACGGTGTGCACGTGCACCCTACCCGGAAATGCAAAATCACATATATATACATACTCCTGCTGCCCTGGACCAGTATATCTGCTATAGTGCAGCGGGGAAGTGTTTAAATGAATTGTAGTGTGTTTCTGCCAAATACACTAAAAACGCATAGGTGTGAACCAGGCCTGAATGGGCCCTAATGGCTGATTTTAACAGGTGGCTCAACATGTGACCAACCAACTCCATGCGTTATCTTTTAGATTGTAAGCTCCAAGGATCAGGCCCTCCTGACCCTCTTGTATTGAACTGTATTGTTACTGTATTGTCTCCCGTTATATTTTTAAAGTGCTGAGCAAACTGTTGGCGCTATATAAATCCTGTATAATAATAATAATAATTAAGCTTTTAGGTGGATGGCCAGCTCATCTGCTTTTACCGCCCCCTGGCTGCCCATATAAAAGTGGCCTTATTTCTCAAAACTGGGAACAAAATGTAAAATGGCTCAGGGTAGCAGTATTACAAATACCGTTTACTTTCTTTTTGGTGAACGATGTTAGAAAAGTATGGCATGTGCCTTTAATTCCATCCTCAACATCGAATCCTTCCAAACACAAAAAAAAATCGTTCGTTGTCTTAAAACAAGAAATCTGTTTCTGAAAATGCCATAATCAGGATTTTTATTGGCGTATCATGAACTGTTATAAATCGCTTTACGTCTCGCGGTCTTGGAGGGGCATCTGGAGGGATTAGTGAGTTTTAATGGCGCGGCCCAGATAGGAGTCACCTCCGCCTCCCCATCTAATCCGGCCTCCCTGGCTACACATCAATAACAACACAGGCATGGAGCTGTACAGTTTTATACAGGATTAACCGAGACATCAAAGGACGGGGAAATTGGAAGAGCTCATTTGTCTTCTATCATTACCATGATACATGGAAAGGAAGCTCTCTCTCTCTCTCTCTCACTCTCTCTCTCTCTCTCTCTCTCTCTCTCTCTCTCTCTCTCTCTCTCTCTCTATATATATATATATACTGTATATATGTCTCAATGCCAGATCTAGGCTGAAGGAAAGCATCCCCTTTAAGAAGACCATCCATCATGTTGAGAAGTAGATAAGACGTTTTAATGGTGCCTGCTCTATGTTTTGGCACAAAAAGCTTACTGTCCATTGAGATGTGATTTTCTGGGTTTAAGAGGAGGCTAAACAGGACTCTTAAAGTGGACCTGTCACCTGAGCTCATTGAAAGGAGTCAGACACATGGGTAGCATTGGTGGTTTATTAAAACATTTGGTTACCAATCAGAAGATTCTGAAAATTTGGCACATTGTACGGTATATTGGCAATAAGACTTTCCATTGACTGAATGTTTTAGCTAGATGGAATTATCACTGCTAGTATAGTAAATATAGGGGCTTATTGATTACAACAGTAGAAAAGAAAATTAGGATGAAATTGGAGCTGCCATTTGTAACTAGTAACCAATCAGGTCTCATCTTTCATTCTACGGAAATGTTAAAGTAGAACTAAAGGCAACATTTTTTTTTATTTTGTATATAATAAAGGAGGGTTATAGACTGTCTGTTCTTTTTTTTTCCTATCATCTGTGTCCCATTGGGGAGATTTCCCTTCACTTCCTGTCCGATAGCCGAAATGGGAAATAAGAGTAATCCCTCCAAAGTGTGGGAATCCTGGTAGTCACCAGAACTATTGTCCCCATTGGAAGATTTCCCCTATTCCTGTCCTGGTGGCAACCCATAATTTGGGATTTTCCTTTACTTTTCTAGTAGTAACTCAAAATTTGAGATTTTCCTTTGCTTTTCTAGTGACAACTCATAATTTGGGATTTTATTTCACTTTCACTCTTGATGATAACAGTAAACAGGACAGAGAATTGAATCGCCCTAACGTGGGCACTTACAGGAATAAAAATCTGACAGGTGTTCTAATCCCTCTCCACTTTACCCAGAACTAAATGTAGCGCTACCCTCGGAGGGGCCGCTTGATAATTCTTGTCCCCAGTGGTTTCCCTGACCTAGCAAGCATCCTGACATCTCTCTCCTGGGTTCAGGAATAATTTATCAGTATAGGATAATAATGTAAGAGATACAATTCTTTAGTATCTATCCTTCTCTCTAGTTCCCTGGTCTCCTCCTTCCATGCCCGCCTCCAGGACTTCTCCAGGGTGTCACCCATCCTCTGGAACTCCCTGCCCCAACCCATCAGATTATCACCTACTCTCCTCTCCTTTAGGCGCACCCTGAAAACCCATCTCTTCAGGGAAGCCTACCCCACCCCCTGCTAACTTGCCAACCTCCTCCACTCTTCCTACCACCCCATCCCCCACAGCTATCTCCTCCTGTGCCACCATCCCCTCCCTCCTAGATTGTAAGCTCGAAAGAGCAGGGCCCTGGATCCCCTCATGTTTTGCATTGTATTGTTATTGTTCTGTCACATGTTCTGTCCGCCTTTGTAATGTACAGTGCTGAGCGAACTATTGGTACTTTATAAATACTGTATAATAATAATAATAGTCTTGTTCAAAAGAGGAGACCACAAGAATAATGGGTTTAGGATATACATACCCAGTCAAAACATAAAAAGCAGAACACTGGAATATTCAATTAGCAACGTTTAACAAATTATACAGTCATGAGTAGCAAGATTCAACCATTAAATTGCCACATGAGCTCCCTCTAGGCCACCAGCGCCACAATGGTGGATTCAGAGAATTATGTAAATAAAATAGTATACTCCAACATAAATAGATAAGTATCCAAATTTGAAAAAGAATGATCTTAGAAGAGAACTGGTCCTGAGATTGCAACTTGAGTCCTGTGATATTTAAAGTTCCTGATATGGTGGTGTCCGGGTGTCTTATTCTAGCAATGGTGGGGCCCATAAACATTAGTGAATACTGGTAATTCAATTACGTTAAACAGATAGGCTATAGTACTGCTCAAAGCAAAGATCTCAAGATATTGAGGCGTAAAGGTGTCTGCATGCAGTGTCTCTAGAGTTATGACAGAAAGAGGTTGGGCATCCACCCACTTACCAGTCCCATGGATAGCATGGCCTACTATTATTATTATTATTATTATTATTAATAATAATAATAATATTATTATTATTCAGGATTTATATAGCGCCATAAAGGAAGACAGTACAGTTACAATACAAATAAATACAGGAGGAATCAGAGGGCTCTGCTCATTAGAGCTTACAATCTAAGAGGGAGAGCCAAGAGATACAAAAGGTAATAACTGTTGGGGATGGGCTCATGGACAAAATACATGTACAGTTGGAATGAGAGTTCTTGCTCGGGCTCTTGGCTGTTTGCAGAGAAGTGCAAAGTTACCGCCTGACAGCCTGTCAGTACAGCGAGCAGAGATGACTGTGTGAAGACCGGATAGTGACAGTCCCGATGTTGAGAAGCTGATGCGATCTCGGTGTAGCGATCGGCGTCACCGCTGTGCTGAACTGATGGGCAGAGTCCCGCAGTGGTAGGCCAACAATCTGTCTCTGGAGGAGAACAGCAGTCCCCTGTGTTCAGATCTGAATTCCATGCCAAGAGAGTGAGCCAGTTCTTTGCTGTAGAATATATCTGCTCTCCCAGCATCCTTCTGGTTTTGGTAGTTGTAGTTCAGTCAGCACTCAGGAATACAGTATGTATTGGCTATAGGGCTACAGGTCCCAAGATCCTTTGCTGTCAGAAGAACTGGATCCACTCTGCTAACAGGACCTGATGTAGCAGTACCAGTACTGGGCACAAGGGGGAAAAGGATTACTCACAGTCTCATCTGTAAACATCCTTGAAAAGCATAAGGATATAGCTGGCACCTTGCTAAAAAAAACCCAAAAAGCTTTGCCCTTAGTTATACTTTCAACTGAATTTTTTTCATTTGTCATCATGGGCAATGGGACACAAAATGAATGTTATTAGGCTATTTCCTGTGCTGGTCGAATGTTTTTCATTGATTTAAAAAATGGAAAACACATTTGGCCACTAGATGGTGTGACGATTGCGCGTCAGACCCCTGACCTTCTCACCAAACTCGTGACCAAAGGACTAGCCAATCTGACACCGCAATGTCACGTGCGTAACAATGCCACGCCCAGCTGCACCCTGCAGCTAAAGGAACCACAATCTATGTACCGGCAGCCTGAATGCGATTGTTACTGGGTCAGGTTAATTACGCAATTAACCCTTCACACTGCCACCACCTCCTTTTTGTATAGAGAAAAAGGAAACTCAGCAATACATTGGTTACTCGTCGGTATACCGCTATCTCCACAGGCAGGTTATACCAAGGGTTAAACACTCATAGTAGCGCTCTTCGGCGGCAGGATTCGTAAGTCACATTAAAGAGCTATAGAAACAGTTCAACACTTTCAGAAAGTATTACAAAAAGGTCAAAAGGGTGCAGTAGAAATATTTACAGAAAAAAGATGTAACCAATATATATATATATATATATATATATATATATATATATATATATATACAGAGCACAACAGCACAGCAAACACATAACAGAAAGAAGTTTAGGTAAATAAGTACTTGCCGAAAGATGCCTGGGGTTAAGCAGTTTCAAGTCTGATGAGCTAAAAAGGGATTTCTGGTCTCGCACTCAGTTTCGTTGTTACAGCGAGATTCCCCTTTCTCTCTGTCTACTAGATGTTAAAACGCAGAAGGTCCTCGCTTCTCTGTCTACACATAAAGCATAACAGCTAATTTTACCCAAAGTCAACAGGATGTCTCTTACAACAGAACCCAATTACCTTATTTGGGCAAAGGATTGTTAGGCAGGAGCTCAGCATCATACACTGATTGCATTCCTGAGGGAGGGAGAAAATCGGAGGAGGGAGACTGATTTGGAATTTAAGAGAAATACCAAAATGCAGAGGTTTGGAGCAAAATGGAGAACCGCGCCTCTCCCTGTGTGCATGATTGTTACAGATGGCACTAAATGTTATATGAAACTTATTGCCATCTAGTTGCCAAGTGTGGTATTTTCCCATTTTAGTCAATGAAAAACATTCAATTAGCACATATGACAT